ACTTCACAGTCAACCCCACACAACCGCTGTGAAAATGAGAGCAAAGGCCCGTCACTTTTTATGGATACCTTCAGCCTGCTTTGTGACCATGGGGACCGCAGGTCTACAGTTCAATTTAAGCAGTGCATCACTTTTAAGGTGAACAGAATCAGAAATGTTTAAAATGAAGCCATCCGTTCTCCCTAATAGATACAAGTTGAGATTGCTCTAGGGGACATGAACTTTCATTGTCAGAGGCTGCATTCCATCTAATTTTATCTGCTACATTGCAAACATTTCTTCCTTCAGACACAATGTTTTGAACATTGAAAGCAACCCAAGAAAGGCACATTTCTTAAGAAATAAATCAAATGCCACTCAGTTTTCCCTAATACCACAGCAAAGTATCTTAAGGATAACATGGAAAAAGGTAAAAGCTCAGAGTAAGAAAATAGTTTTTTACACTGTTTTTTCCCCTATAGCTACAAAATTGACACAGTAATCTATTTCAAAAATACAGGGTTCGGGTGGGTATTTTGCTTGTTTTTGTTTTAAATGTATTCATTAATGCACTGATAAAAGGAGAGAGAAGATTTTCACCATACATTTAAAGAGCCTAGGACTTGCCGATCAGAAAGTCAGCGGTTCGAATCCCCAAGATGGGGTGAGCTCCCGTTGCTCGGTCCCTGCTCCTGCCAACCTAGCAGTTCGAAAGCATGTCAAAGTGCAAGTAGATAAATAGGTACCGCTCCGGCGGGAAGGTAAACGGCGTTTCCGTGCGCTGCTCTGGTTCGCCAGAAGCAGCTTAGTCATGCTGGCCACATGACCCGGAAGCTGTACGCCAGCTCCCTTGGCCAATAAAGCGAGATGAGCACCCCAACCCCAGAGTTGGTCATGACTGGACCTGATGGTCAGGGGTCCCTTTACCTTTACAATGCATTTTAAAGCACATGGCTTTCCCCAAAGAATCCCGAGAACTGTAGTTTGTTAAGGGTACTAGAAATTGTAGGTCTTTAGGAAGAAAGTATAGGTCCCAGGATTCTTTGGAAGAAGCCATGTGCTTTAGACGCACATCAGATGGTGTGGATCTGCCCAGAATGGACACAGCTCAGTCACAGAGCAAGGAATTTTCACTCAGGCAACTGAAACAGCAGTGAACACAGCTACTGTCACCCGTTTGCCAGCTTTGTTTAGATTTTCTCTCTGAAGTGGCATGCACTCTTTGTAATTACTGGGTCTGCAGAAGACAGTGAACCTCTGCCTGTAGAACACAGAAGTAATAGATTTAGCAGATTATCGCACAGGCCTAATCCCTTCATTCTACGACTTGCCATGCGAGCAAATAATTGTCTAGGCAGGGGGAGGGGCTACTGATCAAAGGACCAGCATAAAGTTTCACCAGTGGATTCATGCTACAAGAAAGAAGATTCCGACTAAACATCGGAAAGAACTTTCTGTAAGTAAGAGCTGTTCAGCAGTAGAAGGGACTCCCTTGGCAGGTGGTGGACTCTCCTTCCTTGGAGGTTTCTAAGCAGAGGTTGGATGACCATCTGTGATGGATGATGGTTTAATTTAGTCCATTGCAGGTGGTTGGACAAGATGACCCTCAGGGTCCCTTCCAATACTACAATTCTATTATTTATTCAGTGCAAACTTCCAAGTCCTTCTGTATGGAATCTCCCATCTAACATGAATAGCAGAGACAAATGTTGCCATGTTTATGTATGCATTTACCTAGACAAGGTTATATAAACAAACAAACAAACAAACAAACAAACAAACAAATTTTTATTTATACCCCACCCTTCCCAGTTTAGAAAACTGGGCTCAGGGAGGCTAACAACAAATTCAAAACACTTAACTGATGCAACAAAAAACAGCATAAAACAATGAATAACAATAAATTCAGAATTCAAAAATCAATTTAGGGGGAAAATCCATCCAATAAGCATTAGATGATCACTAGGGCTAGCTGGCTAAGTTAGTCCTATTTGGGCCAGCATGGAGACCGGGGAGAATTAGCTGTGGGATCCCAGAGCGGGTAATCTTCATAAAAAGGGGAGGGGGAGGGAAGGAAGCGGCATAAAAGATCAGGCTGGATTCAAATTAAAGGCCAGGCGGAATAGCTCTGTCTTACAAGCCCGGCGAAAGGAGGTTAAATCCTGCAGGGCCCTGGTCTCATGGGAAAGAGCATTCCACCAGGTCGGAGCCATCACTGAGAAGGCCCTGGCTCTGGTGGAATGCTCATTTAAATCTCTTTGGTTTCAGTGGGAGAGGTTTATGCCTGTGTTTCAATTTCTCATTCAAACCGAGGGATTTTAAAGTTTGGATGAACTGAACCCTCCCTTTCTGTAACTTCTTGGTCTACCTCCCTTGCAATTTCAATTAGATTATGGGCTTGATACTCCATGGTTTCTGCAATGTAAGGTAATCCAGAGATTAATTCCCTGCAGTGATCTTACATCTGATCCATCCTCTGAATGAACTGCTACACATGACCACAGGGTTATTTTTGTTAGGGGCTTGCTGCAGCTGCCCCTAATGAACAGGTCTTCTGACTCAGATGTTGCCGCTTGGCGTGTCACGACTCAGCACACGCCTGGTCACCCAATGAGTCAGATGGCCTGGTTTCTATGGTCCGAGAGAAGCTGTTACAAGAATGAAAGGGGGGGGGAACAGGATTGCAGCAGCCACAGCAATCATACATATACACTCTGAAGCAACAAACTGACATTAAGGCAGATGTGGGGCTGTCTCCAAAAGCAGACCTCCCTCATCTCCTCGTCTCTTTCCTGCAGTATCTAGGGATGCAAAATTTAGTGGTGGTTGATAAAGGCAGAAAACACTCATTGTTACAATGTCACATCATGGAAGGTGGAGGGGGGGCCATCCCATTTCTCCTGAGAATTTAAACATAGTACATTCACCAGAATAGAGGATCCCGAAAGCACACATCTCAGGTGCCTACAGCCAGGTTTTCTAATTTGCTGATGACACCCTCTGCTAGTTTCCTCTTCCTAAAACTCACCTTACTACCAGTGGACAATTTGACTTCGCATTACTTAAATGAGTCTGCAGGTTGTAAATGAGCAATGGCTCGATTTTCTCATCTTTGGAAGAATGAGTAACCTGATGTATGACTCTGTAATGCCAGGAAAACTGCTGACCCCAACCCTTCCCCAAGTTGCTCTGAATGGTATCATTATTTTTCTGCATAGCTCATCCACCTGCTGTCGTAAGCTATAGGTGAGATCTACAGATAGTATTATGTTATATCTGCAATATATCTCTTGACACTAAAAGTGATGGGGACTGATATTTATTTTTAATGGCAGAAAATATAATAATTCTACTGCTGTAATTTAAAAAAAAAAAGGTGTACAGCAGCTCAGCAACTGATGGCAGGATCGGCATTCACATGCAGGTATAAATATTATGCATATACTATTACGTATATTATATATAAACATATATGTTTTATTATGTTTTTATATGTGTTCAAAGCCACCCAGAGTGATTGAGGCAACCAAGCCAGATGGGCAGGGTATAAATAAAATTATTATTATTAATGATGCTAATAAGGATTCAAACATAGATGTTTAGTACAGTGTTAGGCACATAAAAAAGGTACAAATCCATTTAAAAAAGGAATCCGCTGTCTACCTACCACTGTGGCAAGTGCAGTAATATTTTGATAAATCTCAGAATGTAATAAATAGGTGTCTTTGTATCTCATTTCTAGCAAGCCACTATATGTTATCATTACAAACTGAACTTTCCAGATAGTGGATTGCCAGTACAAAGCCTGAGGATTACCAAGATAATGTATGTGAAGCACGTGGAATGTTCAAAAAGCGCTATATAAATGCTAAGCATGATTATTAGATTTCCAGATATCTACTGGCCTACTTGGACTGCCTTGATCCAGCTGGTGATCAAAGCCTTTTAGCATCTAATAGGGTTTCAGGGTTGGCAGTTGAATATTGGTGCAAAACACACCACACATCATACCAATGGGGGAAGAGAGAGAGTGGGGAAATTGTCCATGCTCTGTATTCTTTACCAACTGGGGTTGGAACAAAATCCTACTACAGTGTTACCTCAGGTTAAGAACTCAATTCATTCTGGAGGTCCGTTCTTAACCTGAAACTGTTCTTAACCTGAGGTACCACTTTAGCTAATCGGGCCTCACGCAGCCACTGCGCAGCCGGAGCACAATTTCTGTTCTCATCCTGAAGCAAAGTTCTTAACCTGAAGTACTGTTTTTGGGTTAGCGGAGTCTGTAACCTGAAGCATCTATAACCTGAAGCGTCTGTAACCCGAGGTACCACTGTACTACTACAGAAGTATGACCACAGTAAACAATATCCCCAAATGTCAGTCACTTAACAGTTTCCTTTATGTACCCCACCCCAAATGCATAGTACATAAAATATCCCACGAAATCTATCAGTTTTTGCTATTGGTTGCAATTATTATTATTATTTATGGTGATGATTTTAAATGCTTTATTTAAAAAAAACTACACAACACAATGTAATCAACAGAAAGAAAGAAAAACATTCATTCCATAATTAGTGCTTGTTGTAGGTAACAGTTTGTAGTTGGTTTCAACATGACCTTTGGTCCCCCCCATTGTGGTTCCCAAATTACATTCTTTGGGTGCAATTTATTACTATTTATTATTATTCTTCTTATGGTCCCAGCCCATGTTACCTTTTGGGATAACAAAATGATCCATAAAACACCTTGACTAAAACATATGCCAATAAATCTATAGCATTGCTTTCTGTCTAAGGCTAGCCAATAATAATTGCTTTCTGTCTAAGGCTAGCCAATAAGAAGTACTGGGGTAGAGAGACGTCCCTATGGCAAACCTAAGCACTTTTCTTTTGATACCACACACATGGGTTTATTACGGGCCATTTTCCTAATATGAGATGTGCTGTAGGGAAGAAGTTTTGATCACAGAAATTATAGAGTTGGAAAGTATCCTTAGGATCATCTCCAGCCCCCTGCAATGTAGGAATACACAGCTGTATCGAACCTGCAGCCTTGGCATTATCAAAACCACGCTGTAACCAACTGAGCTATCCCTTCCCCTGAACTATTTTCCTGATTAAAATCAAAATCACAATTAACAATAAGAAACAAAATAACTCAACATCATAAAATTAATAACAATCCCACTTAAAACAGGCAGCAGAAGCGGAAATAACATATGGCTATTTACTTCACACACACACACACCCAAAAAAGCAGAGGGTAAGACTTTTTGCAGTGCATTTTAGCATGTGTTTGTATACTAAATGAAATGAACTTCTTATGCCCGTTCATAAGATTTGATGCATGAGAAATTGTACTGAGGGAAGTTAAGTCCCACTTATTTTAATAAGAGCTGCAGTATGTGCTTAACCTCTTCCACTAAAATTTTGGCTGGGTGTGTGTGTGTACCAAAAAGTACAGTGCTATTGTTGGTTCTACCAATCAACACAATATCGTCGTAACTATGACTTACACAGATTCATTTTTAGAAGGAAAACAGGAAGTACCATATACAGTGCAAGTAATTGATATACCCCAGTGAGAAAGGGCAGGCAATTTGTTTATTGGGGGGGGAATCAAAGTTTGTTTACGATTTATTTTCTCATGTTTATTTGTTATTTAAGATAGAGCTTATTTATTTTCTTGCAGAAAGATGCAGATGGATTGCCTTGCTTTCAAGCCACTACAAATCCCAGTGTGGTCCCCATATCTCTGCTGTATCTATGCTATGTGACTATATGGTATCTCCAGATACAGCCCCACTCACATCCACAGGCCCATCCAACCGAGCCAATAGTGCTTGGATGAGTTTAACACTGGAGATATCTTAGCAGTATACAAAATGGCTCAGTCCTTTAAAAGGGGGGGGTCGGTACTCACCATGAAGTTGTTACAGTAAGTGCCACACTTTTAACATTGGGGGAGGGGGGTCGATTCTGGTACTGCATGCCCTTGACTACCCCCAGCAAAAAAGCACTGGAAGAGCTACTTATAAACACACATCAAACTTGCCAGATTGGAAAGACGGTCTTTAAGTGAACTTCTAATTATTTATGAAACTGCCCTGCGTTTATCATATGCCTGACACTGCCAGCAAATGTCATGTTAGGACTTTCACAGTTTATTTCCCTCTTCTTCTATAATTGAATAAGATAAGCCCTCCATAGGAGAACAATATTGTTTCCCTCTTTCGTCTACACACACTTGGCAGACTGCTGGTTTTGCAAGAAATGATTAGAAAATCAGCAATCAGTACAGTTCTGAGGATACACCAGCGAGTCTCTACATTTTACATACAAGTGATAGCTAGATAGATAGATAGACAGATCAACACACAGAGAGAGGACTGGGGTACAGCCTGTTAAAATCCCTCAGAAGTGACATTGAGTTAGCCTAACCTTCTGCTTCACTAGGACGGTGGGTCTGAGAGGTCACTGCACACCGCAGTAGAATGCATTTAACTGCCAGCAGCAGCCAGCTTCACTGACTGGATGCTACATACATTTCCACAGATTTCATTAAGGAAGAGAGTCCTGTCTGTCCATCATCTGGATCACTGTGTTATTTTTAATTGGCACAGAGTTGTCCGCCTCGCCTTTTTACATTAAACCATCAATTCATTCTGACACTGTCCTTTTGTCAGTAACAAACAAGAAGCATAACACTTGGTTTTATTGCATTAATAATTCAACGTTGCCCATGCTTTTCTTTTTTTAAAAAATAAAAAAAATCCTCAGGTGACTATTGGGGCATTGAATCAGGCCACTAAAACGATCTCCAGTGAGTCAGCTCATCACGTTGCCTGGCAACCGCGGCCTGGATTGACAAAGGCAGGGCACCTTACCATTTTCCCCAACCTCTGCTCTCTCCCCACCACCACCTCCCTGCAAGAAATCAATATGACAGACTTGATGTTGGTGATGGGAGATTAGCTGAGGGAAGGCATCAAAATTGCCGGACGACTGCATTGCTGAAGAGAGTCTATTTAGAAGGCTCCCTCTAACTAGGTTACTTTTCTGCAGCTGTGTCATTATGTTCCCAACCCCCTCAACCAGCAGCATTCATTAAAGTATTATTTACAAAGACATTATTTTGTATAGCATGTATGCCTCATTATAGAGCTGCCGCCTTTTTCTTCAATGATTTCATTTAGGGGCTGGGGCAGGGAATTTTTCCAGTCCCCATTTCACTAGCAACAGGATATCCTTCCCTCCCCCCCCCTTACTCAGCCACCTTCCTTTTTCACTCATTACTTGATTCCGATTTTCAAATAAATCTCTGAGAGACTTTTAAATGAAGGTGTGCCGAGAACTGCCCATATTTCCTGCCATTGGTTTAGCATCCTCTCCAAGGTCTACCATGTTGAAATGCAAGGTAAAGCAGTGACAGTCAACCAAGCATCTAGGCCTCATGTAAAACATCCATGCATTTATTTAATATTCATGTGCGGTTGAGTGTCCTGAACCCCTGGCCTACCTGGCAGCAAGTCAATATGTCAAGTTCCCAGTGCAGGGTCAATCTGTGTCCAGTGTCCAAAGTCCTGCAGAGACCCTCATGCATCCAAGCTGAGGCCCACCAACATGGGCAGTTAAGTAGACACAGCCCTTCAGCTCTGCTTCCCTTTTATACTTTGCATGCTGACTGCAGCATCTGGGCTTGAGGAGGCAGGTGACCCTCACCTGTCCTGAGCCTACTCCAGCTGAGGAACCACACCCCTCCTCCCAGAGCTAGTGAGCCCCACCTGGCCAGCTAGGGAGCAGGGCTGATTGCCCACAACCAAACAGCTACAAGGAAAAATGACATGTTTATTCTCCTATCTAGTGTGGCCCACACAAAGTCTAAGCTGTGGACACACTATAACTTCAAAGCACATTTGAAGCACATTCTATCCCTCAAATAATTTTGGGCACCGTAATTTACCCCACACAAATTTGCAGTTCCAAGCAACCCAGGCCTATAAATAATCTATGGCCTGTGAAAGTGTGGGAAAGTGGACTTTTATTATGATGATTATTTTACTATTACGCTGCCTGTCGTTATGTTTTTTATTATGTTTTTATCATTGATCTGTAATGTGTTTTTAATGTTGTGCACCACACTGAGCTCTTCTGATAAAGGGTGGTTTATAAATTGACTTAATAATAATAATAATAATAACAGCAGCAGCAGCAGCAGCAACAACAACAACAACAACAACAAAGTACAGTGCTACCTTGGGTTAAGAACTTAATTCATTCTGGAGGTCCGTTCTTAACCTGAAACTGTTCTTAACCTGAAGCACCACTTTAGCTAATGGGGCCTCCCGCTGCTGCCGCGTGATTTCTGTTCTCATCCTGAAGCAAAGTTCTTAACCCTGGGTTAGCGGAGTCTGTAACCTGAAGCATCTGTAACCCGAGGTACCACTGTACAGTTGATTCTTTGATGGAAAGAATGCGCTCCGAATGTGTGTTAAAGTTATGGTGTGTACATATAGCCTCAGACAGCAGAGTAGAGACGACCAGAGCCCTTCGCACTCCTGAAGAGGCAAGCTGCGGCACACTATTTTTTTAAAGTGGCTTTTCTCTTTGGCAGTAAGAACCGCTAAAGTTCTTTGCAATAATAAATAAATAAATTAAAATAAAGGGAAAGCAAAGTTTGACTCAAATACACATTTCCCCTCTCTGCATGGATTCTGAGACAAACCCTGGTCACAGCAGCCCCTTCTTCATTACCTATCACAATAAATAAACACAGTCAAGAATTTCCGTGATGCTCTCGGGCAACAGTCCATTTAGACCTAGCATCTCATCATCTTCCACATCAGAGGCAACATATGTGGATGGGGCTCTGAGCAATTTGAGTATAATCAACTCCCTACCACCATTCGCTCTGGGAAGCCTTTCGCGCATGACTGTCTATTTTCAGGTGACTTAAGAGCCCATTTTCTTCTTTCCTCTCATGAGCAGTTGCCCCTTCATGTGAAGTTAGCAAGCATAAAGCAGAATGGATGAAAGCACAGCAAAGAGCCACTTAACATTCAAATACAAATCTCTGAACTCTGATATCACAGTATTTGTCCAGCTCAGCTGAAGCTGCACCTGAAAACTCCACATTTCCTTTCCAGAGATATATATATAATTTTGCTGGGAAAGCATAATTTGTTTATGCTCAAAAAGCAGTTGCATTTACAGCCGGCTGTCATAAAACATTACATTTCATTGCACTTCAGAGGAAAGTAGAGTATGGTTTTCAAAATACCTGCAGAATATTCCTTCCCATGCCAGAAAAAAAAGGTGATGTTTGGTCTTCATATATATAAAAAATAAATAAAATGTCCAGTAGCACCTTAGAGACCAACTAAGTTTGCTCTTAGTATAAGCTTTCGTGTGCATGCACACTTCAGGTACAAATTGGTCTTCATATTTCATCGAAAGGAGGAGCAGGGAAAGTTGCTGTGATAAAACCAAACCCGAGAGCCAAGCACATGCTTATCTCTTCCAATGAAATTGGTTTACTTAAATGCCCTTAATGTTGGCTGCATCATTCGCAATCAGGTCAATGACTTACAAATTTAGTGCAGTTTGAGACTTTAGGGGGTGATTGTGCCTACCATTCCAAATTCTACCATGCTGCCACTGAACATGCCACCTGCTTAACCTGGAAGAACCTGCTCGTTCCAGAAGAAAGGAGAAATATTTCGCACTATGTATTTACAGTATATCAACATACCTAGGCCTTATCATAGTAGGTTCAGCATTCTTCACAAGACTGCACTTCAATACGATGAGCACTATCAGGCTTTGACTCTTTCAGTACCTTATCCCACCTCCAGTGGTTGTTCCTTCTTGAGGTTGTCCTTTGCGAAGTTTAGGAGCAGGATACGGAGGAACATAGGAATCTGACTTATACCAAGATAGACCATAGGTCCATCTATGTCACAGTCCAGTTCACGGGCGATCGAAGTCCCGGCTGGGGACATCGGGACCGGGGGCAAGATGGCAGGGTGGGAGCAGGAACGGGAATCCAGAAGCCAAGAGTCCGAAGATCAAGAAGCAAGATGTCACGAAGTCAAGGGTCTGAGGATCAAGAAGCAAGGAGTCAAGGAGCCAAACACAGCAAGGCAGGGAACATGTTGCTGTGGCAAAGAGCTGAAGGGAAATGCTGAACTTATATCCCTTCCCAGCTCTTGCCACCAGGTGCTGTGAGTTACCAATTGGCCTAACCTGTGCAGCCGCGCCTTGCCTCTTCAGAACAAACTTAGGAAGGCCCCAGTCCTGCAAAGTCCTACTGGTCACAGGGCCTGGCTCCTGCACGCACTCCTGACAATCTAGGTCAGTATTTTCTACTCTGAGTGGCAGAAGATCTCTAGGGTTTCTGGCAGAAACTCTTCCCAGCCCTATTGGGGGACATCAGGGGTTGCACCCAAGATGTTCTGCATGCAAGGACAATGCTGTGCTTTGGGCCTTCCCATACTTTGTCTCCACCAGTGCCTACCCATATACAAAAGTTATCACGAGAATCTTCTCCAGATGTCCCATGGCAGGCGACTACTGGGCAAAGAGCCTTTTCGGTGGTGACACCCTGTCTTTGGAAGAGGCTCGCCTGGAGCGAAATGTCCTCCTTGTGCCATGTGAGCAACCCCCAAAGCTTTTAGCTTCTATGGATTTATTTCACTCTAGCTCATGTCATAAGGGACGCGGGTGGCACTGTGGGTTAAACCACAGAGCCTAGGGCTTGCCAATCAGAAGGTCGGCGGTTCAAATCCCCGCGACGGGGTGAGATCTCATTGTTTGGTCCCTGGTCCTGCCAACCTAGCAGTTCAAAAGCACAAAGTGCAAGTAGATAAATAGGTACCGCTCTGGCGGGAAGGTAAATGGCATTTTCGTGTGCTGCTCTGGTTCGCCAGAAACGGCTTAGTCATGCTGGTCACATGACCCGGAAGCTGTACGCCGGCTCCCTCGGCCAATAAAGCAAGATGAGTGCTGCAACCCCAGAGTCGTCCGCGACTGGACCTAATGGTCAGGGGTCCCTTTACCTTTAGCTCATGTCATGTGTTTTTATGCTGCTTTATAGAACTGCTGTTTTTATAGGTTTTATTGCATGTTTTCTTTTCTTATACATCTTTCTATAAACACCAGCATGGTAGTTTGATTGAGGCGCATGATGCAAATTCTAACAATGTTAGGAGGACAGGCAGATAAACAGTAAAAAGTGTTGTGAAAGGAGGACTGAACTCATAGAATTAAGTATTGTTGTTGTTGATCATCATCATCATCATCATAGGATTAAGGGGCTAAACAAGGTTTCTTTTAAAAAAAGCATTCCCTCCAGGTGTTGTTAATTGTCAGCTCACAGACAATATGGTGAATGGTCAGAGATTATGGGTGTTGTAATATGGAAGACCATCAGTTCCCCACCCCTGCTCTAGGCATTACAAATAGAGCCATTTGGGGTACATTTGCTACAATGTAGTAAATCTGAACTGCAATGTAAAAAGACTTGTCCCTGCTGAGAACGTAACCCACACTGCGGCAGAGGCGGTTTTAGGGTAGCGTGACTGCTCCAGTTGTGCTAGGCACTGCCCTGTAGGGGGCACCCAAACACTCCTGTAGAATGGAGCACGAGAGGCGGGGGGCACCTCATTTTAGCATTGCACAAAGTGCCACTGAAATTTGAGAGCCCAAAGACTGTCACTGATTCTACTGTACTTGCTTAGCAAAAGGTGAGCCCACTGAACGCAGCAGGACTTAGGACTTATCCAGACTTCTGCTTCTTCAGCTGCTATCCCCCTGGAAAACTCAATTTTTACCGCTGAATCAGAGCAAACATCAATCGGGTTTTCCTTGGGTTGCCGTTTCCTCTGATTCAGCACTAAAGAGCGGATTTTCCCAAGGAATTTGGCAAGGCAAAACCACTCTGCCCTAGGCTGTCTGGGCGCAGGGCAATCAAAGTGTAGATGAGCCCTTAGTCCATGAATAAACATATTTCAGAATGGGCTGCTGATCTGAAATTCAAAATTAAACAAAACCTACACTGGCTCCCTGTACGTTTCCGAGCACAATTCAGTGTTGGTGCTGACTTTTAAAGCCCTAAATGGCCTTGGCCCAGTATACCTGAAGGATTGTCTCCACCCTCATCGTTCAGCCCAGACGCTGAGGTCCAGCTCTGAGAGCCTTTTGGCAGTTCCCTCACTGTGAGAAGCCAAGTTACAGGGAACCAGACAGAGGGCCTTCTCGGTAGTGGCACCTGCCCTGTGGAACGCCCTCCCACCAGATGTCAAGGAAATAAACAATGGCCTGACTTTTAGAAGAAATCTGAAGGCAGCCCTGTTTAGGGAAGTTTTTAATGTTTGATTCTATTTTTAATATTCTTTTGGGAGCCTCCCAGGGTAGCTGGGGAAACCCAGCCAGGTGGGCGGGGTATTAATAATAATAATAATAATAATAATAATAATAATAATGTCTAGCTAAACAAAACCTCATGAAGGTTGTGTGTGTGTTTATTTTATTTTTTAAAACTAATACAGTGGTACCTCAGGTTACATACGCTTCAGGTTACATATGCTTCAGGTTACAGACTCTGCTAACCCTGAAATACTGCTTCAGGTTAAGAACTTTGCTTCAGGATGAGAACAGAAATCGTGCGACTTCCGGGGTGGCGCCTCCGGAAAATGGCGGAATTCCCTTCGGACTGAAGGGAACCCGCTGCACGGAGGCTTGGGTCCTGCCGCTACGGCGCAGCGGGGACCCGCAAAAACCACAGGCGGAAGAAGCCTGTGGACGTGGGACTCGGCGGGCACCGAGAGCGCTCTCTCCCTTGTACAGGAGCCCGGTAACGGGCTCCGGAGTGGGAGGTGCGTGGTGCTGTGAGTCGTCTGCTTCCTCCGTGCAGCAAAGCCGCACTGCCGTTATCGGAGAGCGCTGCCTTTTTCCTGGACAATTTGGCATCTAAAACATCTATCCGTGAGTACCTGATCTTGGAAGAGCTGAACCACTTTTAAGACTGGTGAATAAATAAATAATATTGGACTTGAAATTGAACTTAATTGGGACTCGGAATGGGAAGGTCTAAACAGGAAGTCGCCTTCCGTTCTTTTGTTATGTGAAGAAAGCAAAGACAAAATATACTAAAGCCTGAAAATTAAATTTTAAGAGAACTAGAATTCAACATCTAAGATTTCTGAACCCCCCCCTTTTGACAGCAGGAGAAAAAGGGGGTTGTATTTGGACTTTTCAATCCTGCGGAAGTGAGTTTAAAATAAAGCAATTTTCCACCGCCCTGAACCAGGAGCGGGCTGTCAGAATTGACGTTCTGAAGTTTATCCAGCTCGACAGTTAGTTAAAAGAAGGGTAACATTTTGATTCTACTGTTGCCTCTTGAATTTGGAAGGGGGAATTTTGGATAAAGTGTTTCTGGAAAAAGAAAGATTGTTGCTGTTGCTTTTATTCCTTTTAAAAAAAAAAAAATTCCATCTAGTGGAATTTAGTGAAATTGCAACGCAGAGAGATTAAAAGAGAAGGACTATTGGACTATTCTCGTGGGAAAGAATTTTCTTTGACCTTGAAGGACAATGCTAGTACAAAGGCTGGAACAATTGTTCCTGGAAGGTTTTTCAAAACTAAGTGCCCAGCTGGACCAGATGCGTCAGGAGACGACCTTGAGGATGGAAGTTACCAGAGCACAGCAGCAAACAAATGAAATTCAGTTAAAGGCTATACAAGCATATGAACCTGCTGTAGTGACGGAGGCTTCAGAGATGGAGGGACCTTTGGACGGGCAAGATCAGCCTTTGAACTTGATAAATGAACTTGGGACAAACCAGATTCGGAAAGATGAAATGTGGTTAGATTTGGAAATGGGGGGATGGATCGACCCCCCTCCATATGGTTATTTGGACCTTCCGAGTCTGGTGATGGGCTATCAGAGGATTGGAGTAGCCGAAGTCTCCAAGCTTTGTGGAAATTTGAAGTGGTATTATTTGCTGTCTGGCTTGGGCAATGGGTTTGGGATGGACTTGTTGCAAAGGGTCAAAAGCATTTTCTTGCTGGAGCATCCACGACTGGAAAGGAATCATCAACAAGAGTGGCGAAAGGGGCAAGAAAGAGACTTGAGGGCCTCGGATACGAGACAACCAGGTTAAGGAGCCGGATTACCGAGGTTAAAAGGACTGACAATCCCGGGTCCAGGGGAGGGGAGGTTGGAAGCTGACTGGACTGAATTTGACTTATTATTTTTTCTTTTTACTTTTTAATATTGGGAATGCTTACAAATGTTTGAAGGATGTTGAATGAAATTACATGACTTAAGTAAGGATTGGTAAATGATTCGTAAAAGGTAATGATGCAAGAATTTGGTAAATATTGAATATAAGCTATGAGTTTTAAAGTTTTTATATGACAAGAGGGAAAATAGAATAAGGAAACGTAATGACAGATTGTTATGAAAAAACAGAAAGGATTTGCTGTAAAAATTAAAAATTAAGAAACAAAAGAGGGGAGGAGGAGGAAGTCTAGAAAGGAAGTCAATAGAGATTGTAAAGGACTTTATATTTTTGTTTTTCTGTTTCTCTTTTTTTTTTTCTTTGCGGCTGGGTTTTCTTTTCTTTTTTGTTTATGCACTAATTTTGTTTTTTGTATCCTTAAATTTTTTTTTGGAAATTTTTGTTGTTATTCTTTGAAAATTCAATAAATATCAACTAAAAAAAAAAAAAAAAAGAGAGAACAGAAATCGTGCTCCGGTGGCGCAGCGGCAGTGGGAGGCCCCATTAGCTAAAGTGGTGCTCAGGTTAAGAATAGTTTCAGGTTAAGAACGGACCTCCGGAACAAATTAAGTACTTCACCTGAGGTACCACTGTATTTGGTATCTAACAGCAAAGACATTTCTCCAACACTCCGGAGAAAATAAGGACTATCTGCACTCATAGATTTTTCCTTTGATCTTTAATCCAAATGAGAGCCTTGTGGTAAGTTAAAGAAGAGAAGACATTTGGTTTCCAGAAAGTGAAGAAAGATATTTGTGGGGACAGGAAAGTGCCGAAGAAACGGGAGGGGGGGGGATGATGATACTTGCAAGCAATAATGGGAATCTGCATAGAGAATGGCTTGGCCTCCTTTGGGAGGTTCAATGAATTTTCCAGTAAACCTCCATTTGTGCAGAACATATTACTCTTTTAACCAGAAAATGCAAGACTTTAGTTTAATCAGCTTTTCATTCCATCCACCACCACCCCTTCCCATGCTATTAATTCAGAAAGAAGGGATACCAGTATCACATCGTGGCAAATTAATAGGTATAGATAAAATCTTCTATAAATATTCATTACATCTCATTATTGTAAATTAATGAGTAAGATTTTTAGAATTAAGGGTAGTCTCATTTAAAGACACGCATCACTTTTTGCACATACTAAGCTTTCAGAATAAATGACTCCAGAGGAAAAGGACTAGTTCACCACAGAACCGGCGCACGTGATCTCACAGTTACTTATTCGTAAGATGAAGTAAAGGGCTCGTTCCTTTTCTGAAATGGAGAGTAATATATGGTATGTGCATGAATATGATCGGCCCAATTGCTTGCTGCAACTGAAGCTTAGCATATTCCACTCCACTTAATAAACTGAAACTGCTCCCACAACATGTCACCACCAATGGTGGTACTTCATCTGGCACTGCAACAACTGTAGAGGTCACTTCAAAGTCAAGCAGCTTTATGCTCAAAGTGTGTACCAGTTGTGCACCTAAAAAGCTGCTGTTGTTAAATTCATAGAATCATAGCACTGTAGAGATGGAAGGGACCCCCAAGGGTCATCTAGTCCAACCCCCTGCAATGCAGGAATCTCAGCCTCCAATGAAAGAGAGTCTACTGTCGAACAGCTTTTACCGTCAGACAGTTCTTCCTGATGTTTAGTCAGAATCTCCTTTCTTGTAACTTGCATCCATTGGTTCAGGTCTCACCCTCCAGAGCAAGAGAAAACAAGCTTGCTCCATCATCCATCATATGACAGCCTTTAGGATATTTGAAGATGGCTGTCATATCTCCTCTCAGTCTCCTCTTTTCCAGGCTAAATATACCCGGCTCCTTCAACCATTCTCATAATGCCTTGTTTCCAGACCTTGAATCATCTTGGTTGCCCTCCTCTGCACACGTTCCAGCTTGTCAACATCCTCCTTAAATTGTGCTGCCCATAATTTGACACAGCACTCCAGGTTTGGTCTGACCAAGGCAGAATAGAGTGGGCCTAGCTGCTGCATCACACTGCTGACTCATGTTAAGCTTGTGGTCCACTAAGACCCCTAGGTCTTTTTCACATATACTGCTAGGAAATAAGATGCAAATCATCTAGAAAGAGGACTGTTGCTTTTGCCTGAATGATACAACACTTGTGAAATTCAATACATATGGGAAGAGAAATATATATATATTTTTATAAGATATTTATTAGGATTTTTTTAAGATAAAAAATGGGAAAGAAAAAAAAATACAAAATAAAAATGATTAAAAACACTCAGATTTTCCATTGCTTATTTTTCTTTAGCTTGTTTCACGGACCTCCTCATACCTCCCTTTTTTGTATTCCAGTTCAGTTTGTTGGTTCAGCAAATCCTTACCCTCTTTGTTTATCCTAATCTTTGGTCTTAAAATAGTAACATTAGATTTTTACCTCTTAACAACCCCTTTTTCATATTCCCTTAAAGCATTACAGCTAGAAACCATTTAATTTCTATCCAACATCATTCTAACATTCATTAATTTTACAATATTTCTGTAGATAATCTTTGAACTTCTTCCAATCTTCTTCCACCGACTCTTCTCCCTGGTCTCGGATTCTGCCAGTCATTTCTGCCAGTTCCATATAGTCCATCAGCTTCATCTGCCATTCTTCCAGAGTGGGTAGATCTTGTGTCTTCCAATACTTTGCAGTGAGTATTCTTGCTGCTGTTGTAGCATACATAAAAAAAGTTCTATCCTTCTTTGGCACCAATTGACCGACTATGCCCAGGAGAAAGGCCTCTGGTTTCTTCTGGAAGGTATATTTAAGTACCTTTTTCAGTTCATTATATATCATTTCCCAGAAAGCCTTAATCCTTGGGCATGTCCACCAAAGGTGAAAG